TCTCTCTCTCTCTCTCTCTCTCTTCAATCATTTTGATTGAATTATATGATTTTTAGATTTTTCTGACAAAAAAAAAATATTTTTCTTCGATTGCTTCCCCCTCTCTGCCCTCCCCCCCCCCTTTCTTTATCTGATTTTTGCTTTACAATAGTATACACGAATAGATTGCATATAATACTAAATACATATATATATATATGTATAAAAAGTAAATGAATGAAGTAAGAGGAAGGAAAAGAAAAGAAGATTATAGATGAGATAGCTAAATGATAGAGAGGGCAACACTATATGTATGAAGTGAAACAGATGGATAGATAGAAATATCAGAAAAAAAATGTATTTCATACTAATGATGCAATGATTTTAAAGATATATTTTCACTGATTATTATTTCTTTTAATCTTTCTCTTATCAGATCATTTTTCACAGTTTCAATGCCCTTATAAACACATTTTATTATTTCATTTATTCTTTAAAACTTTATCTTCGGTATAAATGTATCTGTGTATCTATCTATCTATCTATCTATCTCTCTTTATGTCTCTTTCAACTTGATCACTTTTTATTTCTTTTTTACCATTTTGCTCATTCTTTATTTCCATTTTCTTATTTCCCCCTTTTTATTTTAGAATATAAAAAATAACAAAACGTCTTCTGTCTGTTGGTTATAGTATTGATGGCTCAGTGAGTGCTATAATTGATTCATCTCATCACATCAACACACACCATATACATCAATAGGCCTTGGTAAGAATATTCTTTTACTGAATGATAATACAAAAATGATAATCAATAAACTATAAAAATAGTTTATTGGAGTTCATTTTCTTCTCTCTCTTACTCTCTCTGGCTCTCTCTCTCTCTCTGTCTCAAGACTTTATGAGTGTGAGAAGTAAAATGAAATTTTCATTTCCCACATAGTTTTCTAGTATGTGTACTTGATGCACACAACAAACACATATCCCTTTATAAAAGAATATACTATGGTTAAGCTTTTTCGAATTCAAAGGGCACATTGTGCATATGGAAAATGAGAATACAACTGAATGCATTAAAGAAACAGAGAACTAGAGAGTCAGAGAAAAAGACACAGAGAGAGAGTATGAGAGCTGCCTTTGTCATTACAACTCTTTTTGTGATATTCCTAAAGGAAAGACACATGACAGGAATACTAATAAATGTACTCGGGAGAAAGGGGAGAAGGGCCCCGCATGTACTACTCATTCCAAGTATTTGAATTGAAAATGAACAATTTTTGGAATCTAATGGACATTCAAGTTGTATGTGTGCATGAGAGCGATGGAAAAGAAAGAAAAAAAGCGATTATACACTACTTTCAACTGAGTAAAGTGTCTGAAAATCGTTCAAAAGTGTTGAGAACTTTCTTTTTTATTCTGTTTTAAACTATGAAAGGGAAGTCCTTTTAGTGTGTAAACGTCTCACACACAGAAAGCCAGAAAAAGAGAGAGAGAGAGAGAAAGAGAGATACAAATCAAAAAGTTAAAAGAAGAAGAGAGAGAGAGAGAAGAAGAAGTATAAAAAGATATAAGAGAACAGAAATTGTGAGAAACAATAGGATGATGTAAAATAACGCAAAAACAGTGAGAGATTTTCTTTGAAAAAATGTTTGTCTGAGACGTTTTCGTTAAAGAAAAAGCATCAACTAGAAAGAAGATTGAATAAGGGAGAGAGAGAGAAAAAGAGTGAGATGGATAAATGAAGAGAAAGACAGAGAGATAGAGAGAGATATATATAGAGGGAGTGATGTGTGAAGTTGCGATAACGAGGGAAATGGAAATAAGATGAAAGAGAGAAAGAATGAAAAAAGATGCTTTGCAGAAGAACATAGACAAGTTTAATATAAAGATGAGAACGTTTCATTTGTTATGTTCGTTTCCTGTTTATTCTTTCTTCTCTTTTTTTGTTTTTATACAAGTCAATCATGCCCTAATCTTATATTTTTCTTGTTAATATCGGTCATATTTAAGTTTTGGCGCGAAAAGTTGTGTGTTGTGCGAGTGAACAGATGATGATGATGATGATGTGAGTGAAGAAAAAAAAAGTTTTTTTTATGTCTTCTTATAAAGTTTTTCTCACAAAGTGCATTTTTTCAATGATTTTTTCTTTTTTGAATTAGACAGATGAAGCTGTTGCGGGGTAGAGAAACAGAGCGTTAAGAGTTGCATATCTGACTCTATGAAGCATAATTGTGTAAAAACCATGCAAGTGATAGTTCGACAGTTACAATATGATGTACTATGTTTACAAAAAAAAAAAAAGAAAAAAGAAGTATATGATTGTGCTCATGTCATGATAACAGACATTTACAAACAAACTCCTCATATTTTCTAACATGATCGTTAGTTAGTTCATTTTCTATTTTCATTTATTATTATATGATATAATTTAACTTAGATATATACATATGAAAAGATAGATGATTGCATCAGATTATTCCTTTTTCGTATGAAAGTTTGCACGAAATGCGTTCGCAGACACACACCATTCAAATAGCCCGCACTGCATAATCGTTTTTCTGTTTGACTTTGTGTTTATCGTATTTGTGCTTTCTCATCGACCGTTTGAACGCTGACTTTTCAATCAAAATCAAATAGATTTGTTATTTTATAGCTTCAAACAATCAAACATCTTTGAAAATTGAGTTTTAATGTTTCCAATATCATTTATAATATCTTGATGTTTCATTTTATAAAAAAATTATGTTTTTGTGTATTGGTGTGTGTGTGTGTATGAATGTGTGTATGTGTGTGGGAGGAATGGAAAAGCTTCATTTTAATTTTTAATAATTATAATTTTTGATATTACATATGATGTATATGCTTCTTATATACATATGCTTACGTATTGATTGTATAATCATCATTAGCAACATTCAATCGTTCATTGATTCATTTTATTTTACAGAAAATTATGGAAATTGAATCTGAGAACTCGGAGCCTGCTCAGTTAATTAATAATGCTTGTCGTAATCACCGAGATTCTAATAAGGAGAAAAAATTATTGGACAGGTTAAGCAGACATGATTCTGATAGTCATCATGATGTAGAAGAGCATTCACGTGATGAGAACAGTAGGTACGTTAACTATATCATATAATATATATGACTGTATATGGCTATTGTAATGCTTTGTATTATAGAAAGAATAGTAAAAAAATGTTATGTCTAATGACAGTAACATTTTTATTTTTTGTTGTTGAACTCGTTGCTGGACTACTGAATCGTTCTGTTGCTCTATTAGCTGATTCATATCATATGTTATCAGATGTAATGGCTTTATTTATAGCTTTAGTTTGTTTACGCGTAAGTCATATCATTCTTATCTAATTATATATTCATCTATAGATATCAATGAAAAAATCGAAAAAAAACGGTTTTGGATGGGTTAGAGCAGAAGTCTTTGGAGCTGCTGTCAACGGAGTATTTCTCTTATCAACATGTTTTCTTATAACCTTAGAAGCTTTTGAACGTATCTATCATCCTAAGCCTATGACTCATCCAACTCAGGTACACAAAGATTAGAGGGGTTTTCCATCATTGTTTACATATCTTTAAAGGTATTGGCTGTCGGTATCATAGGGTTTATTATCAATTTAATTGGTATGTCTATGTTCCATGGTAGTCATGGACATAGTCATGGAGGGTCAGGAGGACATGGTCACAGTCACGGTGGTGGTGGAGGACACGGTCACAGTCACGGCCATGTTCGTATTCGTGAGGTAATAGAACTGGGCAAGACTCTGGTTGATTAAAAGTTGAACACTTTAGGATCCTATCAATGCTGGAGAAGCATTAGAGCTCTGCTCGCAAGAGGATGAAGATAGCAAAGTTACAAGACCATCAAGATCGATGAGTCATTTGAGCAATACATGCTCTCATAATGTAATTAATTTCTTCTTTTCCATATAATATATTATTATTTCTTAAGCATTTGGCTCTTCGCTTTGTCATGGAAGATAATGATCCGAGTGATTTCGATTCGGATGACACATCTGATGCTGCTGCAATAGCAATGAAACGTCAACAAGGTATGAATCTATTCTAGACTTGTAGTTCCTCAATGAATGCTTTGTTCAGAACAAGAAAACTTGAACATGCGTGGTCTTTTCCTTCACATAGTGTCTGATGCTATAGGATCAGTATTTGTTATAATAACAGCAACTTTGGCTATTTTCTTCCACGAGTACTTGGGAGACATACTGTATTATCTTGATCCAGGCTTGAGGTACTCGTTATACTAATCCTACTATAAGCTCATCTGGATCGTTTGCAGCTTAATTTTGGTCTCTTTAATATCTTTTTCTGCTGTGAGACTTGTTAGAGAAACAGCCGATATAATACTTGGACGACCACCCAAGTTTATTGACCAAAATGCTTTAAAAAAGGATATGGCTAAGGTTTGCTCGTTCATTCATTGTTTTTATAAGGTTCTGATGGTTTAGGTACAAGGAGTAGCTCATGTTGGGGCTATTTCCATTTGGACTCTTGTAGCAAGTCGCCATTTAGCCACTGCTGAAGTGATCTTTTGTAATGCAGCAGTGTATGAGGAAGCTTTACCAAAATTGCGCAAAATATTCCACGGTATGGGAATTCACTCACTCACAGTAGACCCAATCTTCTCTCAGGTTAGAATATACTTTGATATATATAGTAATGAAAGAATAATATGTTTATAGGAAAGATGTGATGTATCAGAAGTAAAGGCAACCTCTGAGGAAGGCCTTTGTGAAGATACATCATGAGTATAACATTCGGTTGTTTCCACAAGAGCTTTTATTTAAAAAAGAAAAAGTTAAGCTAGTATATATATACTCAACCAAGTTAAAACTTGTAACACATACTTAAGCGAGTATTGAATGTATTCTAATATTTCTAAGTTGCTAATTATAGCAAATCAATTCCAAATTTTGATATAATAATTCCAATGTTGTAGGCAAAATAATTATTCGTTAATTTTTTTAGAAATTTGTTCGCATTTTGATGAGTTCAGTAAATTTATTTTCATACGTTGAAAGTATTGTATCAACTGCTAGATGTTTAATAAATTTTCGCGATTCATTTACGTATTTCAGTTGTTTGTAGAGTAAGAGTATCGAGTTGGATGTTGAAGGAAAGCTTGATATGCTTCTAACTGTTTGAACAAGTTATGCTCCATCTCATGCCTTGAACCGTAAAAGAGATGAAGAATGATAAGCTTTCTACTGTTGGTTGAGTTGGTTCATAATGGTAATGCTCATGAACGAGGGTTTTCGTAGATACTTCATAAGCTGCTTTTTATCCAAGATTTGAATTTAATATTATACCAGAGAGGAGAGAAAGATTCTCTCTCTATGTACCTATTGTATCTCCTGTAAAAACAGCTTGAAGTTCTAAGTAGATATTATTTATTAAAACTGATTGGGAGGGGGAAACAGAAATGAAGTCAAAAAGACGGAATGCATAAGAAATCGAAGACTATTAACAGTTTGGTTGCATAATAACAGATATTTCCATATTAGTTTTTGTACAATGAGATTTGATCTGAAGAGTGATTCCTAATTCGCAAATTCGGCGTCACTAATAAGTATAGCCTAGGATATTTGGAGCTATGGAATAGAAAAGACATGGTATGAGAGAGAATGGTATGATGGAAAGAGGGAATGATTTGTCATTGGATGATACACGCTGTTTAAGATTACAATAGAAATGTATTGACAATGTATGAAGTTTCGATATTAAGTTAATAAGTATATTACAATTAGACATCAAGAACACGTCCGTCCGCGCGTTCGCGCAGGGCCTGTTTGTTGCATATGTAATCACGAAGTCTACTACGAGCTCTCTCCACTTCGCTGCTGATTTGATAATGGATACGAGATAGGCCGTCAATTACAAGCTCACTAGCAAAAAGATGGACTTCGAGATACGCTTCCTGTATAATTGAGCTATGCTTTCTTGCATTTATGATATAACATACCTTCTTGTACTTTTCTCGGCCATGTGTAGTGAGCATGTATGTATCGTTGACAGTATTGTGCAATACATAACTGTTATCCATCAATTTATTAAGAGCCTTTTGACAGTATTGCTTCATCTGAAGAAAGTTATCAAATTTATCAATCAAACGAATTCAACTTACGCGATTTGCATTGGCATTTGCAAGATAATAGCATTGGAAGTACTTTATAAACCCTTTCACATCGCAACCAGGGTTTTCCCTTTTTTCCAATCCTTTCAGTGTTTGGATGATCATCTTCTCATAAGTTGGTAAGCGCTTTGGCGTTTGTGGATCACTCAAAGGAACTTCAACCACTTTTGCAGCTTTTCGAACAACTTTTGCTTTTGGGCGAATTTTTCTCTGTAATCAAAGAATGTAGATATAACAGTGTGAAAATTTTGTCACCTTAAGTACTCTTGCAGAAGCTAATCGAAAACAGCCACGAAAACCTTTAGCTTTAGAAGGAATGATTCGTTTGGTCTGTACCAGCGACTTGATAGCAGCACACAAGTATGTTTCAATCTGAATTGAATCATTTTTATAAGCTTTAGCTTTAACTGAATACCTTGGTGTTTGTATTGCCCATATAGAAGTTCGCTCGAATATAACGCATAATCACATCTTTCGTAGCTCCTCGCTTACAATCAATGGCCTTGAGAGTAGTTATAACCATTTTCTGATAAGTGGGGTGTTTTGGAGGCATATAATTGGCTCGTGTCGCAAACTTCTTGGCTAGTTTTTCCAAATAAATTTGATCTTTCGATTTGGAAGGAACATCATCAGTAGTTTGAGTAACAGACAGTTTTCTTAAACCTTCTCTCTTCAATTCTCTAGGAGTGGTTACGACATCTCGGTTACGTTGGACGGGGACTGGACGAATGTTGAATGAAGGTTTAGGTGGAGGAGGTGGTGGAGGTCGAGGAAGACGTGGAGCACGTCGAGGTGAAAATCCTTGATGAAGCAGACCTTGTCTTTTTAATGTTTTGCGTGATAATCCCTCCATTCGCAACATAAAGCTAACTGGAGCTTCGCCGTAGCGCAAAAGATGGGCTGGTGGAAAATGCTGTTGAGGAAAATTATAAACTTGTTCACGTCGACGAACACGACGTACTGGGGGCCGATTATTCTCATCATAAGGAAGAGGACGACGTGGGGGACCTCGTCTGTTTTCAGCAACGCGTGGTGAAGGCATACGATAACGAACTTCTCGTTCAGGTGAAGACGAGGGGGTACGGGATGAAGAATCTCTCAGACTATTTGAACGTGATACTATACGTTCTGGAGTTGGAGATGGTGAATCCGATGGAGATGTTCCTACAGTAGAACGGGAAGGCGAACGTTCAGGTTCTTCAAGGTTTTCTTCGGGTAGAGGAGCTGGATCGAGAGGAATTTCTTCTAACATTGGAGCTGGCGCTTCATGATTAGCTCTTGGTTCAGGAACTGGCGCTTCAACATTAGCTCCTGTTTCAGGAACTAGCGCTTCAACATTAGCTCCTGGTTCAGGAACTGGCACTTCAACATTAGGTCCTGGTTCAGGAACTGGCACTTCAACATTAGGTCCTGGTTCAGGAACTGGCGCTTCAATATTAGCTCCTGGTTCGGGAGCTGGCACAAGAGGATTTTCTACTGGTTCGGGAGTAGGACTTCGTGAGAAGCTGGCTGTAGATTCATAGTCGAAGGCAGAACTATAATCAGTAGATACGCTAACAGAGCGAGAATAAGCCCCTCCAATCAGTCGATGATTTTCCACAGATGGTGAGCTTGGCGGACTACCGCTTCCATTGCGCAACTCGTTAGGCTGTAGGTTAACGACTGCTGGATCAAGCCCATCTTCCGGGTTGTTCAATCGATTATCGGGTCTTTCAAGTTCATCCATCGATGTTGAGGGTAAATATAGTGAATCGGCGCAGAACTAGTTTTGACAGCCGCAATAGACCAAATCAATAGGAGCGCAACGCGGTCACGCGTGGAGCGTTTCAAGGTCCCGCCTGGAATACAGTATGACTGGTTATAAACAACATAGGTCACGAAACAAACCAAAAAGGTTTAAATCCATATGGATATGAATTTGAATGTTTTTTTTTCCAATTTAAAGGGATTCGAATGGAATAGCAGTCGCATAAGAAGGAGAAAAAATAATTTTTGAAGAAAAGTTCTTCTTCGGAGTGGGCCTTCTGTGGACAGATGGTTAGAAGCAAGTGGTACATAACTGGTTATATATCTGTGATATGAAATTATAGAATGAAGAAAAGATTGGTGGAGAGGAATGCTGTTAAAGAATGAATGATATTTGCAAGAGATTATGAAATGTGAAATCTAATCTTCAAGTCCAATCTCTAAAGCAGTCATTGTGCTCTTCTATGAAGAAAGACGTAAAACTACGAATTTTTAGCAAATGGTCAAAGAATGGAAAACAAACAACCTTGATGGTAGTGTTCAATTCAAAGATCAATGAACGAATCGGTAACTCTTTTAGTATGAACTTAATGGTTATCACGAGGTTACTCTTCAGAACAAATAAAACGCTTTGTATTGCATGCATTCATTACCATGTGTGTCTGAGCGTTTGAAAAATTTTGTTTTGTTCCCGACAAGTGCAAAGAGACAAAAGAAGACGAAATAGATCTTTTTGTTCATATCTTTTTCTCACGAAAAGATTTGACTCAAATTGCAGTGACAGAGCGGTGTCAGGCCAATTCAGTGCCTTTGTATCCAAAAATGAGACGCCAGATTGATAAAACAAGTCTTGAAGGAAATATTATATTTGGACTTCAATCTGCAACCAGTCATAAAGGTAAGAACGTGATTCGAATTAGCAGAATTTGTCTTTTGCCCACTTCTGTTGGCTGTCTATCAGTCTCATCTGGAGATGTTAGAATCATTCCTACTAGTCATACAGCCTTGCGTTTCTGTCGTCTATCAATATTTTTTCTTTATTTTCATTATTATTCTGGGATTTGTTATATTTGTGACCCTGATGCTAACGTTTCAGCTAATCCTCTGCTTTATTGTCAATAAGATATACGTATTGGTGAGCAATTATAAATTGTTATTAGGCTGAGCACGGATACGGATTAGTTGTTTGATCTTACTAATTGTTCTCTTCTATATATATATTTGAGTCAAATTAGATATGCAAGCAATTATTTATTAAAATTTGCGAGATTTCGGACATCAGAAAACAAAGGCAGATGCAATTAAGCTGGCAAACGGAAATGATTTTAAATGAAAAGATAAAATATTTCATGATATTTCAAAAAGTGAAGTTGAAATATAGGCTCATGAAATATTTTCTTTTATTTGAACCTTAAGGACAATCGGATAGGAAAAAGAGGATAAGTAGTGAGACACACGGGGATAGACAGTCTTTGACTAATGAATCAAATTTGTTTTTGACATATTCAAATTTCTTTTTCAGAGGAATATTTGTTTTCAAAAAAATGAAAATCGATTGTCAGCTATATTTGTCTCATACGGAGTGAATATATAAAGGAAAACTGGTCAAAACAGCATTCACAAGAATCTACTAGAAGCTAGAAGCTGACAATCCCTCTTCATTCATCAGTATAGATATCTCAAAGTACGTTTAGCTTGCTTAAATCTTTAATTGCCATTTCGATTTCTGCAAACTTTTAATTTCACTGCCCCCCTCCCTGTGATGAAGGTTTGAAATTCATCTTTGCGGCGATTTCTTCCATTTTATTGGTCTGCTCTTCAGTTTTAAGATGATGAATGAAAAAGAAATGATATTCTCTTCTTCAAACAATATCTGTTCACTTTTTCAAAGAGCTATTCCTTTTTTTGTCCGATTATCGCCGTTCGTTGGATGTTCTCTCATCACATTTCATCGATTTGGTTTTTTCAATTTGTGTGAGAGAAAGGTTATTATCTATTTCAAATTATAGCCGCTGTGAGAGTAATGATTGAAAGCTATATAAAGAAAAAGGTTTATTGAACTACGATAGGAAATGGTTAAAATTATTTCAATCTGAACTAGCAGGATATTATAGCTTCAACAATTCAAAATTTCAAAATACATTGATGCATACGTAATAGTAGAATAAATTGATTGCATAGAATTAAGACATATATATTAGCATAGTCAGAATAGCGCTAAGAAAATATGCTATAAATAATTCTCTATTCAATTCTAGACTTAATTAGTTTAGTTTGGAGAATATTGGATTTTTGGAATTGGAGAAGAGATACTTTACAAATACGAGCATATATACACACAGACACACATGGGTGGCCATATAGTTTGGATATTGGATGATTATATGGTTTGGATATTGATGGTTGCGTTGTTAGTCTTGGATGAAGCTGTAAGAAGTTTCTGAGACAGCTCGATCTTTCTAGCTTCAACTAGAAGAGTAGAAAGTAGCAGTTGTGGTTTCGCACCAGCGCTTCCAACCTTCCTCTAATTCTGAGATTGTGCTCTGATACTGGATCAGGGGACCACTACTGATACGGTGGTTTAGTGGTTAATATTTATTACGATACTGAACATACAATCCTATTACCTAGGTAAAAAGTCATTACATAAATTAAAGTAGATAAGTTAGAAAGATAAAAAATAGATTAAGTTACACAGTATGTTAGAGCTCAAGGGAAATGTATATTTAGTTTTCTAGTTCCCGGGGAAAGTTCCAAGGTAATGAGTGGAAGTGGTTGATGTTGTGTCGTCATCTGGATCGTTTTTAGGATGTTGGAAAGCGTTTGGAACTTTTGGTACGTTAGCAGCCATGGGAGGATTTAGCCTCCTAAGTTGGAAGTAAAACTGTCCATCTTCCTTTTTTGTAAGAGTAAGTTTTCTCTCAATGATCATTCTTTTCAATGTATCAATGTAGATTCCATAAGCCTTGAGTGGAGTTGTATCAGTTATTTGATTCGATATTGAAACTTTACCTGTCTGATTGAGATAGAGAACAGATGGTTGCTTATAATATACTCAAAAATGTTGGATTTTGTAGTATTCTCTTCCGTGGCTACAGCCAAAGCCTCAGTTATGAGAAACTCGAAATCGGGGCAATGCGAATCCTTTATTCTCCTGAGTTTGCCATATGCGGACACATCAAGTCTCTTGATTCCAGTAGAATTCGTGTCAGGGATTGTATCGAGCAAGAGTTCAAAATTGAAATCTTCATCAGATCTATAAAAGAGTTTGGAAAACTGTTATGAGAGGAAAACCTACTCTTCTTCTTCTTCATCATCTTCTTCTGACTCGTCATCTCCTTCCAATTCGTCGGTTTCATCCTTCTTACCAACTTCGAGTTTATCGGCTTTGTCTTTCATGTCATCTTGTTTTGGGTTTTCGGATGCGTCCTCCATGTCCACATCATTCGGTTTTTCGGTTCCGTCTTTCTTGTCACCTTCCGTTTTCTCTTCAGAAGAAAGCGTCAGATTGTTGGTGCAAGATGCCGCCAGTTCTTGAACTACAGGGTCAAGTTCAGCATCTTGCTGAGCAGTTTGTGATCCTTCAGAATCATCCTCTTCATTCATGAATACACAGACAGGAGCAATGAAGATGCTTGTAGTGATAGGAATATCACCACTGATTGGGTTCTGGTGAAGTAAATCCGGAATAGAAAGTACAGTAGTTGGATATACAACAACTGGATGATCAGCTGGTACATCTTCGGCGCCATCTGTCGCGTCATGATCGTTAATAGCAGGCAAAGTCGGAGAAGTGATCTCAATTCCAAAACCTTGTGGAGGGTTCATGGTGGGTTTGTTTTGGGCTTCAGGAGAGAAATTTAGCGGACCGTTGGTTTTGGGCTCCACCACGGGTAATGGCTGCTGGTTCAACTCAATATCCATTGGTTGCTGTTCCTCGTTGTTAAGGGGCGGGCAAATCTCCTCATTAACGCCAGATATTTGGTTATGAGCAGATGTTTCTGCTCTGCCAGAAGGGAATTGGCTTCCTGACCCCTCCCTCACTGCAATCCTTGAAGATTGCATCACAGCCGTGGGCCCCAGCGCTTCCAATTTCAACTCCTGTTTAGGTACTGTCTCAGCAACTGCAGAATCGATTCCTCCGTTTGCACGATGACCATTGCTGACAGCGTCCTCAGGTCCATTACCTTGACGATCGTTGTTCATCATGGCTCTGAAAAAATAAAAAAAGTTAATAAAAAAATTGATAATTAGAAGAGAAACACCTTGACCAGATAAAAAAAAAATAGAAAACGCGCTAACAACTAGTCACCAATGACAACCGAAATCAGCCAATAGCCACTATGCATGTCCAACCTCCTTCTGCACTCTCACTGCAATGCACACTATTTTTTTTGACTCAGCGTTCGCCCAAAAAAGGATACGTCAGATGCATTGACATTTCAACACATATAAATATATGTATATATAGATAGATAGATAGAATGAAATGGATGAAAATGGTCCTCTGTGTTTCTCTCTCTCTCTCTATCTCTCTCTCTC